GGGGAAAATGTTATTTTCGACAAACATGAAGTCTGTGTGTGTTTACTGTGTGTGTGTTTGTGTGTGAGATGAGTGAAGGAGGAATGAAAAAGGAGCATCCTCCCACACACAGCTGCCAAATCGAACAGCAGATCCGTCCTCGGCTGCTTGTTTGGCAGGAAAGATTTCAGGCGCAACTTTCTTAAGAAGCTGTGTTTACATGCAGTAACTATCTGTCATACACCGGCTCAGGTCTTCAGGTTTTATCAGGTTTTCCTTGGCATTGGGTTAATGGATTGATGGCACTTCCTGAGGCTGTTTGAGCAGCGCTGAGTTGCTTTCATGTTCACAGAAAACTGATGGTGGTGCTAATGATGCTTCGTGTTAGCTGTAACAGTGTGAGAGCTGGATGTGGCCATGTTAGGAAGCCTGAGGTCTTTACTGTGAATTGATTTCAACATAGCCAGGTTATCTCGATTCTATCTGAATTCACTTACCGTTCAAGATTCAAAGTGTTTATTGTCACGTGTGCACAGAAAAAGCATTTCTCTGTACAATGAACAAATAGATAAAATACAAATAGCATGGATAACTAAATGGAGACCAAAAAAATTTAATTTGAAAATAGATTTATGTGCAAAACAATGGCAATCAAAATAAGCGGTGACACAGTTCATAACTTCCCTTCAACTCATTCATGTCTCCTAAAAGGTAAACCTGTTTCTCCATCACCTGTTCAGCTCTGATGATCCAGTAAGGACGTCTCCTGGTTTCATCTTCACGTTTCCCTCTCACCACATATCCAAACCGATATCATGGCCAAGCAAACATCAGCTGATACTAGAAATTAATATTAAATAAATTCTAACAACAGCTGATCAAGCTTAAACGTGCTGCTGTTGTTTAGCGCGACATCCGCTGGTTTCCCCGTTCTGGCGCAAAGTGGGCGATAAACAAACAAGAGAGAAGATAAGCTGATCATTGATCAGTTTAATGATTGAATGAGAGAAGAAGAGGCAGCTGTGTAGAAACTCCGTCATGCTAGCTAGCACGCAGTACGAGTTATTGTAACTGACGATAAAAACTCAGCAAAACGAAAATAAACTCCACCTAAATTTGGTTTATATCTGACCCAGATAGACTGCAGCTCATAACTTCTTACCTGAAGTTCAGTTCACCTGACA